AAAAGTCACAATTTCATCAATGACTTCTGAACACTCTTCTGTGATATAAAGGATTATTTCAAATTTTAAAGTATGCATATTTAAAGACAATATAACACAATGTTTTATACGACTTACTGTGATATTTATTAAAAAAACTGTTAAGTATCATTAAACTCAATCAAGATAGAAAATGGTTTTCCAAGTTGATTTTAATTCTAAAGAGAAAAAATCCTTCTTTCTTAACAAAATTTGCCAGATATTTGTCAGAAACAATTATTTTTAGGTGAAATGTTGCTATATTTCAATTAACTTAAATCTCAGATTCTAAATAATTTTAATAACTATGTAATGTACCAAGATACCTTTCATAAATAGATACATAGATCTTTTTTTACATAAAAACAAGTATTAGTGAATACTTCAATATAAATTGCTTAAAATTACATACATTTCAGAAGAATGATATTAACTTTACCTTGTTTCCTTCAAATCCTTTTTGGAACAAAGTGGAGTGTAATAAAAAAAAATGTAGAAACAAGGCAAACCTCATGATTGTTAATGTTTCACTTATATTAATTGCCTTATGTCTTTTGCAGGTAATAACCAATATATTTTATTTAAATGTGATGTTTCTATATTGTAAATGAGACAGTGTCATATAGAAAAAATTAAACCAAACAGGTAACAAACGGTGATATTCTGATTTTAAAAAGTTCTTCAGTTTTGAAAATATTATATATTTCTATGTTTTAGTGCACCAAGGTTTTTTTTTAATTGAGCAATCAAAGCAATTTCTCAAAGTGTTACAGGACGTCTACAATGTGCAAGACAGTTTAAAGCAGTCCAAGCATAGTCCAAACTAAGAATGTAGATTTTATAGTACCCTTTGAATTTAAAGGAAGATTGCACTTTTTATTAACATAGGTTAAATATATTCAGTTTTCTCATCTGTAGAGTGGGAATAAAATAAATCACATGAGGTTACAATAGGAATTTAACAACACAATGAATTTTTAAAGACTAGATCTATTCCTGAAACCTCTTATGTGCTCACTGCCTGCTAGTACATATTAAAATTATTATTATGAATCAAACTTTTGACTTTCCCATATATACAGCCTTAAAATTATGACAAGAACATGTTGGAAAGATTAAAAATCTCTATTGAGGTTTTTCAGTTTATACTGCATCACTGAGGAATCTAGTATGGAAAAAGATATGTAGTATTTCATATCATATGTTGTACAGATTCGCTTCACATAGTTAGTTTATAGATGGCCAAATCAGAAATTCAAAGAC